CACACACACACACACACACACACACACACACACACACACACACACACCCTTCCCTTGGCTCCAATATAAACAGACGTTTCATGAAATATTATTTACCTTTATTGAGTTAAACTGACTCTGGTATTCCATCTCAATCTAAAATCTCACAACCTTTTCACATGAACCTTAGAGAATAACATTCAAACTGTTTAACATCTTAGGAACTTGCCGCAATCTGGTCTTTGCTGTTGTTTCCACCTATGGTATTTTCCTTCAAATTTATTTTCCAGCAATGTTAAAACATTTGTAGTTCCTCACACAGACCAGGCTGTACATTTCCTTCTGTGCCTTGTTCGTGTCAATCCCTCTGGTTGGAAAGCAGACATATCACTAGTTAACCTAGGTAATGCTCATCAGTCATTCAAGATTTAGTTCTGGTGTCCACTCATCCAAGAAGCTGTCCTCTTTGAACTGCCTACTCCTTCCCATCCCTTACCTTATTTCATCATGATTGTCCATTTGTTTCCATAGCCCTCCCTAGACAGTGAGATCCCTGGTTGCAGGGCTTGAATCACTTTTACCTTTGTGTTTCCAGCACCCGGAACAGTTTAAGACATGCAATAGATCCTCGATTAAATTTCTATTGAATAAATAAAACTCATAATTATCTGTTATATGTTGAGATAACTATCCAAATAAATGAATGTCTTTTGGTCTCTCAAATGAGTTTGTACTGTTTAATTACAACAATAACAATGATACTGCTTATGTTTTGAATTTTCAACTTCGATGACTCTAGATTCAGTTACCTATTATTGGAACAGAAATTAATAGAAGTTTCCTGGCCAATAAACCTACCACTGGCTTTGATTAAATCTTTATTTTATTTAAATAGCACATTTCCCTTGTACTATAGGCCATCCAATCAATGTGGGAACAAGTGGTCTTGATTGATTTATTTCCCTCTCAGTCTCCCTCTCTCTCTCTTTGGTTTTTATACACTCAGAAGGCCAGAGCTGAAAGGGACTGTAATCACTGCTTAGTACAGTCCCTTACGAGTCAGTTGGGGAAAATCAGGCCTGCAGAAATTGAATGTCTTGCTTCTACCACACCTCAAGTGTCCCCCCCTTCTTTGGTAGATTGCCTTTTCATACTTTTTATTAAATGCATCAGTTAAGTCCAAAAGAATACCTGTGCTACAACAAACACAGGCAAATCTCTCTGTTGGACAACTTTATTCACCTATTGTAGCAATTATATCTGAGGGCATCCTTAGGTGACTTCTGTTTCCTGTTTCTGGGTATTGTAGTGCCATTATCATGCTTGGATTTGTAGCCTGATGGTTAGCCTGTCATTTTCACAGTTTCTTATGTATTATTATTACCTGTTTATTACTTTCCTTTATCCAAGGTGATACATCTTCAGAGTGTATCAATTGCTTTATTATTCTGCACCTATGATTAGGTAATTTTTTTCTCTCTTAGGTCTTTCACATGCTTCTTACTGCCATTTATCTTGTTTCAATGCCCATGTCAAACCAACCAGGCATTGACTGAGTCTTTTCATTAGGCACATTTTTCTGTGTGAAATCTTGTCAATGCAGAAACAGATAGATATTATGAAATTATATTCACTGTTTGCTTTTGGGAATGTTATTGTGACATTTATAGTTTGTCTTCACTCTTGGCCTGCTCTTTTTGACAAAAGAATTTAGATTTTGTTCAGGTTTCCTGTACAATAACCCTTGATTTTTTTTCAACCTTAAACTCCTCATTGTTAAAGTAAGTTGATGTCAGTTTCTCTGCTTTCTTCTTTTGAATGATCTTTTAAAACATAGATTTACAATGTATTAGTCCGTTCTTATGCTGCTAATAAAGACATGCCAGAGACTGGATAATTTATAAAAGAAAGGGGTTTAATTGACTCACAGTTCAGCATGGCTGGGGAGGCCTCAGGAAACTTACAATCATAGTAGAAGATAAAGTAAACACGTCCTTTTTCATATGGTGACAGCAAGGAGCAGTGCCAAGCAAAAGGGGGAAAAGCCTCTTATGAAACCACCAGATATCATGAGAATGCACTCATCATGAGAACAGCTCCCACGATCAAATTACCTCCCACTGGGCCCCTTCCACAACATGTGGAGATTATGGGAACTACAACTCCAGATGAGATTTGGAGGGGGACACAGCCAAACCATATCATTCTGCCCCTGGCCCCTCCCAAATCTCATGTCCTCCCATTTCAAAACACAATCACGCCCTTCAAATAGTACCCCAGAGTCTTAACTCACTCCAGCATTAACCCAAAAGTCTAAGTCTCATCTGAGACAAGGCAAAGTACCTTCTGCCTATGATCCTGTAAAATCAAAAGCAAGTTGGTTACTTCCTAGATACAATGTGGGTACAGGCATTGGGTAAATACAGCCATTCCAAATGGGAGAAATTGCCCAAAACAAAGCCATGAAAGTGTGAAATCTAATAGGGAAGTCATTAAACCTTAAAGTTCCAAAATGATCTCCTTTGACTTAATGTCTCACATCTAGGTTGCACTGATGCAAGAGGTGGGCTTCCATGCCCTTGGACAGCTCTGCCCCTGTGGCTTTACAAGGTACAGTCCCCTCCTGGCTGCCTTCACAGTCTGGCATTGAGTGTCTGCAGCTTTTCCAGGAGCACAGTGCAAGCTGCAAGCTGTCAGCAGGTCTACCATACTGGGATCTGGAGGATGGTGGCTCTCTTCTCACAGCTCCACTATGTAGTGCCCCAGTGGGGACTCTGTGGGGTCTCCAACCCCACATTTCCCTTCTGCACTGCCTAGCAGAGGTTCTCCATGAGGGCCCCTCTCCATGAGCACACCTCTGCCTGGACATCCAGGTGTTTCCATACATCCTCTGAAATCTAGGTGGAGGTTCCCCAACCTCAATTCTTGACTTCTGTGTACCCGCAGGCCCAACACTACATGGAAGCTGCCAAGGCTTGGGGCTTGCACCCTCTGAATCCATGGCCTGAGCTGTACCTTGGCCCCTTTTAGTCATGCTGGAGCTTAAGCAGCTGGGACACGGGGCACCATGTCCTGAGGCCACTTTCTGCAGCAGGCTGGAATTTCTTCCCAGAAAAAAAAATTTTCTTTTCTCATCTTTTGGCTGCATACTTTCCAACTTTTATGTTTGCTTCCTCTCGAATGCTTTGCCATTTAGAGATTTCTTCTGCCACATACTGTAAATCATCACTTTCAAGTTCAAAGTTCCACTGATCTGTGGGGCAGGGGCAAAATGTCACCAGTCTCTTTGCATAACAAGAGTGACCTTTACCCCAGTTCCCAACAAGTTCCTCATCTCCATCTGAGAACATCTCAGCCTGGACTTCATTGTCCTAATCATTATCAGCATTTTGGTCAAAGTCATTCAACAAATCTCTAGGAAGCTCCAAACTTTCCCACATTTTCCTGTCTTCTTCTGAGCCTTCCCAACTGTTTCAACCTCTGTCTGTTACCCAGTTCCAATGTGGCTGCCACATTTTTGGGTATCCTTATAGCGGCACCCTACCCTACCAGTACCAGTTTACTATATTAATCTGCTCTCATGCTGCTAATAAAGACACACCTGTATGTCTTTGTTATAAATAAATTATAAAGGGTGGATTATAAAGGAGAGAGGGTTAATTGATTCACAGTTCAGCTGGCTACGAAGACTTCAGGAAACTTACAGTCATGGCAGAAGGGGGAGCAAACACGCCCTCCTTCACATGGCAGCAGCAGGGAGCAGGGCCAAACAAAAGGGTAAAATCCCCTTATAGAACCATCAGATCTCGTGAGAATTCAGTCATTACCAGGAGAACAGCATGAGGGTAACCACCCCATGATTAAATTATCTCCCACCGGCTCCCTCCCATGACACATGGGGATTATGGGAACTACAATTGAAGATGAGACTTGGGGACACAACCAAACCATATCACAATGTTAATTCTTACATCTTTACTTTAATATTAATGTGATATATGTAATGTTGCCTGGTTCTCTTTGTA